AGTTCTGAGTACAATCGAAAGCACCACGACTGCAGTTTTTGTGTTGGATGTAAAAAGCAGGCGTGGGATTTGTCTCGTGGAAATGTGCACATTATTTTTTCCTTTCTATTGGTAGGTGGCACAGTGCACTTGTGGCAAGTAAGGAAGCTAGAAGACTGGCAATCTTGATGGGTATCCATTTATGGAAGTAACACATTAACAAGAGAATTCTGAGTAAAACCAAAGTTACTTTCCCTAGTAACTAGTTACTCTGAAAGTAACGAGTAACTTGAAGTAACTGAGTTACTTTTAATAGAAGTAACTAGTAATGTAACTAAGTTACTAATTTAAAGTAACTTACCCAACACTGCGGTTCACTGAAGTGTGGGATCATGTTGAAAGAATGAGTGCAGAACAAAAGACAGCCAGCATCCAGAGAAGAGCTTGTAATGTCATTCAATGAGCCTAAAGTTATCAAAGTATTCCTGAAGAATACTTCAACAAATGACAAGAAAGCTTGTCTAAGAGAGTTCATGCTGTGTTGAAGAATAAATGTGCTCAAAGCAAGGGTTGACTTTCAAGCTTGTTAAGAATTGCAATGAAATGTAGGGTGGCCCAAGACTTTTGCAAAGTCCAAAAGTTGTAAAGTAGATTACGATCCATAGTCTAAATAGTTTTGTGTGTAACATGGCAAGAAAATATACATATATATATATGTGTGTGTATTTTTTTTTTTTCAGTTTCAAAAGGGCACAACAGTGTAGATGATAGTGATAATAGCAAACTGTTCCAAAGCTGGTAGGTAACACGATACTATTGGTAATAAGTCACAAGTTAATAGTTATTTACTGTTTAACAATGAAATGACATTCCTTAAAAACTTGTTAGTAACTCGTACATTTACACTTTGTGTTTTGCTGTATTCTAATGTACAGCATTGTGCAGAGACGTGTGGTGGATGTGTCCTAGCAGGAAGTAGTAGGGAGGAACCCTGGTGTTGTGAAAAAGCCGTGCGTGACACTTCAGCGGCCTGATTCACAACACCAGCTGACCCTCCCCACCCATCAGTGCTGTAGTAGCTAATGGAAGCTAATCTTCAGTGACAGGACCAAGTCAAACTGTCAACCAGTATTTTTGAAGCTTTTTTGTTCATCACACTGTGGAGCCATTAAAACCATTTATTTGCATGAGAAGCTGGTTGACTGAGAACCAGCTTCCTCTCCACTCTTGCTATACAACTAACTGCAGCAGCAGCAGATGGTGATTAACTAACAAACACTGAAAGGAGAGCGGAGAGCACTTTGCACACAGTAAACAGTCTCCACCGGGGGGCACCCAACATCTTTCCTTCTTGCCCCCACACTTTGAGGACGATGATCTGATGCTGGCAGCTTGCACACACCACGACTTAACCTGGAGATAATGAGGCAGAAACAGGAACATTAATTTCATGCTGGAGGATTAGCTTTCAATGCAAATGTAGTGTTTGAGAATTAAAGTTGAATAAGCAGGTTGTGACCCAAGGACAGCCTTAAACATCACACAGGACTCAGCTACATAAACACATCTTTAGCCAAAAGTGTGTGACTGCAAAGTGAAATGCTAAGCAGGGTCCTTGGATGTAACAGTGCTCTATTTATTGCCTATTTTTAAAGTGCTTTGGAATTGAGGTTAGGGCCATGATGGAGCTGAGAATAACTTTGGTTTCACAGCGGCAAGCCTTAATCCACCTTGAAGCGGCCCGCTGTGTACCAAAGCTCAGAGTAATGTCACTGTAAAGTAGGTTTACAGGAAAATGATCTGCATGCAGGGCTTCAGTATAACAGGGCATGTTTGGAAAATCAGTTTCCTGGTATGTCTGTATGTTGGAATTGTTAACAGAATTGTGTACAGGCTTTGTGCAATTGTGCAATGACCGGGTCCTAAAGAGTCATGACGTTTAAGAGCCAGGAGCAAAATAGAGTTAGAAAGAATTTGTCAGTCTATGAAATATGAAGAATGCCATCCAATTTGTGTCCTGATACTTTGGTATCAAAATCCAAAACATAAAAATATTACTGTTAATCAAAGTTCAGCCATTCGGGCATCAAAGGGAAAAACCTGAACTCCTGACCACTAAAATGTGGGTGTGCAGTATTTATATTTCTGTTATTAATGGGATGCCTTTAGTCAGCTCTCCCACAGAGCTCTGTTAAAAATCCAAATGCTTGCCATCTTAAACAGCACTTGGGCACTTTGGCAGTTACCCAAAATATTTCGCCCAAGTAGGCACTTCACCCCAATCTAACCCTTCTGGGACAGACAGGGACCCAGAGGCTTCATACTGTGGAAGGAAGTATCTGTCCTCATGATGGTGTTCACTCAATTAAACTGTGTGTCTTGTTTTATCTGTCAACTTGAGAGAATTTCTTGTTTAAAAAGTGCTCTGATTGTCTTGTTGCTACATTAACTGAAGTGTATCAGTTTATTGTGCTAACATAAACGTGAATTCTTAAAATCATTGTTTCCCCCTATACTGTCATTTAAACCTCTGGCTGTCCTAACAGGCAGGTTGCCTTTATTCCTGGAGCGGACTAACATTTATAACAAGATGTGAGCTAAATGAAATCTTTACGGCACCTGAGACCTGATCAAAACCTCCACATTTCCTGGTACTATAAACTTTTACAAAATACTGTACCAAAGTTTTAAAATCACGCTCAAAGCCCAATCATTGTAAAAAATGTTTTGGTTATTACTTTAATTACGTGTTGGACATGCATTAAATAAACAAATATCAATTTTACAAATATGTGTTTCATTGTTTAGAAAATTTGTTTCTCTGTTTAGGAATAAATATCAAGTTTACTTTGTTATGATAATTATAGCTGTTCAGAAATGTCTGTTTTTGTATTCTAATTGTTATATATTTAAAAGGTAATCATTTGTTACTGTAATGCATGTAAAAAAAAGTCATAATAAAATAATGTGGCAAAATAATAACAAAGTATAGAACATGCTGTTGTATTATAATGTATTATATTAGCCTAGGTCACCATCAGTGTGTGGTAAACTGTGGACCTGGGCACTGCATCTATATTGTATATTTATCCATATTGTAATTCTAATAGAACAATGTGATTTATTGAGGATGGTCAAATCTGATCTTTTCCTGGACCACCCATGTTGGCATAAATCATATTTTGGTCTGGGGGTAGGGGCACCTAACTCCACCAGTTTGGGCCCTGCTGACTGGGGCTGACTACACTGGGCTGTTTGACGTAACAGATATTCCTGGCAACCTGACTGTGTCGCCCCCTTTAGGCCAAACTCTCACCCTCACAGCGGGCGACCTCACAGGATGAAGTTGCACCCTGCTGTTCTGAGGTACTGTGCTGGACAGCAGTCGAGAGGGACAGTTTACAATACCATGGGAGGTGTGCAGGAGGTGTTGTGAAACTGGGTTGTAAGTGTAGCCTCTGACCACTCCATTAATCACAGGTTTGTCCTTTTGCCTGACTAATCCAGGACGGGTCAGGCCTGCACTAATTCTTCCACAAGCGGCCATGTCACACTGAACATAATATCCCAGCATTTTTTCTAATCCCTTTTTATCAGGTCTGCTGGCCTTTCTGGTCAATCTAATTGTGACAAAGCACACATAAGGGCTTTTGTGCCAAAAGAAAGTTCTTTTAAGGTTTCAATTAAATGCCTCGGCCAGCCCAGCGGAAGCCTCTTGGCTCAACGCCAGTGTCCTTCAGACAAAGAATGTCACTGCGCATAATGGATAGAAACACTTGAGTGAGGAAGGAGGAAAAGAAGTGCAAAATGTGGGGGGATTTTTTTGTCTTTTCAGAGGGAAGGAACACAAAGATTTAAGTAACAATCAAAACTAGCCTGAGGGATTAGGAGCCGGAGAACGCTGTGTGTGTGTGCGTGTGGAAATAGAGGGGGAAGCTCAGTCACAGTTCAGTCACAAAACGCTATTGGAGGAAACACAGTTTAGATCTAGCATTTCAGTTTGAAGATTTTGGGCAATGACTTTTTTAAAAGCTTCCATTGATTTCTGTTTTGTTTTATGTTCCAGCAAGTCTGAAAACCTTTCATATTTTACCACAGCTCACAGGATCTTTCCTTTTCCTTTAAAACATCCAAGTGCATGACTCCAGAACTCTTTCCTTCTCTGACTGTCCAGAATGATTTTAAGCTTTACCACCCAACTCTCTCAGCAGCCTTTACATCACCAGTTCATTTGGACCGAGTCACACATACGACTGCACAGAGCTTGTGAAAAAGTGGATCGCAGTGCACTTTGTCAGAAAAGGCTCATATGTATTTGTCCGTACACATCAGTGTGTGTACAGTTGCAGAGACTTCAGTGCCAATGCTGTTAGTGTGTGTACAGAGGCAGAAAGTGAGGGTGGTGGAGGTTTCCCTGTAGTGAATGATCCAGTGTTAAACCAATACTTCGTTGTAATATTAGAAACTTCTAATATTTTGACATCTACTAAGAATTGAAACAACAGATGCATTAAGAGAGCAGCAAACAGAGCTGCCACTCAGCCTCTTTTCTGGTTCCTCTCAAAGGTCACTTGCTCTAATGCAGTGGTTCCCAAACTTTTTTTTGCAAGGGGCCCCCCTTTGTTTTACAAGAAAAATCCCCCCCCCCTCCGCGCACACGCACACGCACAAACACATCCTCCAACCACACACACCCATATTTTGCTCCATTGCGGTTTATTTCACACCTCAAACATTTAGTAAACAATTAAGCAAATACAAGTAATCTGCAATAAATTACAGGTAGTAAGAAAATAAACTACTAACTCTTTTACGCTACGTCCGCACCTACACGGGTATTTTTGAAAACGCAGCTGTTTCGTCCACACGTAAACGGCGTTTCGAATCACCGAAAACTGAGATTTTTTAAAACTCCTTTTATTGCGTTTACGTGTGGACGAGGAATACAGAGTTCGTCACTCAACGTCAAAGGTATGTGTCTTTTTTGCACGTCACGCTGAGCGCCACGTTATTTTTACATGAGATGAATTGCAGAACTGGCAAATAGAGACAAAATACTGTTAATCTGATTATCTTCCAGTTTTTACACGCTTACACACGCAGTTACTGTCCCTCCATTTAGAAAGGCAGAGGCGTCACGGTGTAATTATTTTACGTGTAGTTGTTTTTTTCCTGTGTAATAATATTCAACATTGCTATCAATACATTTTTCAAAAAATGCCTCTCTGTGCAAAATGGGTTTAAAAACATAAACAGCTGTGGGATCCTGTTTGTCCGATGATTTAGACGGGGGAAACAAATCAGTGGCAGGATCAGCCTGATATTATTTGTATCCCACTGTAACTTTACTGTATAAAGAGCTAACATCTCCAAAATGTCAGGAGTAGTTAGTCATTAAAGAAGTGTTTGTGAACTAAAAATCAAGAATGTGGGATACTGTTTGTCCGTGATTTGGAGAGCCCAGCGCTGCTCCCGACGAAGGGAAAACCAATTCTGCAGGGGAGACCTACCTTGGCACTTGTGCAGGTGAAGCCAAAGGGAAGATATGCTTCACCATATTTTCTAGTCTTTGGCTTAGAATGAAGTTGGTTTGGAAACATATTCAGCATGCTTCATCTCCTGCTTTGCGTTTGTCGTGGGCCGTGCTAGCATTGTTTTTTTGTTTTTTTTTCCCTTTTCAACCCCGCCCCCCCCACTCTGCCCCCCCCCCCAGGGGGCGGGCCCCACACTTTGGGAAGGTCTGCTCTAATGCAAGGAATAAAAAAATTCCAAAAAGCATGCTGCTGTGAAAGAGACATCTGTTTCACTCTTCTTCTGTTCTTAGCTGTTGGTGTTTATCATTTCTTTATTTAATTATTGAATATTAAATGTTCAGACCTTCTTAATCATTTTGACTTTCATGTCTTATTACGTTTTGCCTGGGGGGTTGATGGTTAGAATGGGAACATTTCTTTAACAGTTTTCTTTACTTTACATATCTAATATGCAAAGTAAAGATATCTAAACAGCTTCAGTTTTATATATCTAATATTTTTTCTTCACATCATTTATTAAGCTTTTCTATCATGGCTTTTGTGGCAGCACACTATGCCTCCACCTGGTGTAAAATTTGCTAATCACTGGAGTCTTAAAAAAATGTCTGTTTATGACAACAATGCCAAGGTCATTTACTGGTTAACACAGGTTAAGACCTTAAAAATCTGAGCTATAACTCTAGTGATGAAACAATTAGAACCCCTGGAAATGGTGGGAAGGAAAAACTCCCCTTAAACAGGAAGAAACCGCCACCAGAACAAGGCTCACGACGGGTTGCCTTCTGCCACGATCTGTTGGGGGTGATGGGAGGAAGGACAGGACAAAGACAAGCTATGTAAAAGAGCCAGAGACTATTGATAACTAATGACACGTGTATA